AATGTATTTCTAATATTGTATCATCGGGCTGGTAATTTATTTTTGAATTTGAAAATCAATGGCTGGTAATTTATTGAAGACTTGTACATACACGTGTAATAAATGGCAGAACCAGGAAATTTTTTTAGAGTGGGCAAAATGAAACTTTCATCAAGAAACGATGCATTTGTGCATCTATCCTCATATTTCATATTTTATTTATTTTAATTGTCTCTTTTTATCATTATCAAAAATAATCTAAAATAATAAAAATCTAGAAAAGTGACTGAATTGGTATGAAATAAAATATATATGAATGAAAATGATAGAATCAAAACTTAAGAGACTAAATGTCTTTTTTCTCAAAAGTTTAGGGCGCCTCGTCCCCTAGCTCGGCCAGTGGTAAGGCTGGGGAATACATAATCTTCAGTTTCTTTTGGGTGATTATTTACTTTAGTGGGTGGTGCTTTCATCCTTCTGTTTTTTTCTTCCTTTTTTTTTTTTTTTTCTAGAATTTGATATTAGTGGATTTGGCTTGGAAGTAAGACTTTGTTTACAATAAATGCATATTTTTATAAGGTTAAACTCCTAATTTGATCCATCAATTATTGTATGGACCATGATTTGGTTCCTAAACTAAAAAAATTCTTAATTTGGTTCTTATTATTTATCAATTTAGCCCCAAGTTGATCCTTTTGTTAAAAAACAACTGATATATCCGTTATTTAATAACAAAAAATCATTACTTAATGATCATATGTCATGTTAATAACAAGACACGTTAGCTATTTTTGTACAAAAGAACCAACTTGAGATCAAATTGATAAATAGTATGGACCAAATCAAGAATTTTTGTAGTTCATGGACCAAATTAGAGGTTCATACAATAGTTGAGGTTCATACAATATTTTCTAAACAAATTAAATGTAATAAATATATTAATTATATTTTTAACATGTATTCTTAAAATATAAGTTAGGAAAAGTGATGAAATGAAGATTTTGCATTTAATGATTATGAATAAAAGTGTGTTTGGTTGGTGGAAAATAATTTATTGAAAAACATTTCCCATATTTTTTCTGGTGTCGGGACACATGTGGTGAATGGAAAAATATTTTCAATAAAAAAAAAATTGAGTTAAGTCACCTGAGTTGTCTCAAACCTCGAGTTACTCTTTGTGCTGCCTGTTCGTTAGTCACCCCACACAAGGTTTGAGACAACGCGAGGTGTGATAATAAAGTCTGGGCTGGTTTAAGGAATGTGGCTCGGAAGTGATTCAAGATATCTGAGGTGGATTGAGGGGTGACATAAGGTTTGGGGCGCGGTTCTGGCTGTGATTCAGTGTTAAGGGTAGTCAATTGATCCGTGACTCGCGGTCTAAGCAGCGCAAGCCTTGACTTGGGGTTTGGGGCAATCATGGGTCCTGTGACTTGAGATCTAGGACGACTTAGGGCAATAACTCAGGGCCGAAGATAGTTTCGGACCAGATCTAAAACCGATTCACTTGGACACGGTTTTTTTTTTTTTTTTCCTCTTTTGATCGGCATTCACGTGGACACTTTTAACTTGTTGAAATTTTTTAAAAGAAAAAAGTTCAGAACAAACTAACCACCTAAATAAATTTCACCAAAACAATTTAAAAAATAACCAGTAATATGTTCCATAAGGAACTTTATTAACATGACTATTTTGCTAAAAATTTAAATAATTTAATGATAATCTCCTTTCATTAAAAGTAAAAAGTTTTAAATTCGAATTACATAGCATACAGATTAAATGAAATAAAAGATAAGAGAAAATTGTTTTTTATTATACAATCTAAAATATTTTTTTTTATGGCATACAAATTAAATGAAATAAAAGATAAGAAAAAATTGCTTTTCATTGTACAATCTAAGATAAATTTTTTTTTTTTTTTTAAAAGGAGCATTTTTACCTTTTGCCATCCCCTGATGGTAAGGAAACCTTCACTTAAGGGTGAATTATAATTCATTAGAATTATTTGCACCTAGATAGTAATGGAGAGATTTGAGCATGCCATTTTTTGTACAATTCATATCATCCCTACCACTTGAGCCGACTAGATAGGTTCCATGTATAGCTCCTCTTTGTAAATGTGCCCCTTAGAACATTATAAGGTAATTAATTGTGACTGTTAGAACAATTAAAAGTTTCCTGCATACGCCCAATTCAGTACTCACCTACTTGATCCCAATAAAAATTCTGTTCCTCAGTTGTTCTTTTGGTGCATTTTTTCCTTTTTGGTATTTACAATTAAAGTGTTTTGGAGTTAGCACTTATACATTTCTAAACAATCTTAAAAGTGTATTTCTATATTGTCCTTTTGTATTCAAAAAAAAAAAAAAGGGTTAAGTTTTTTAATGCTAACTTTAAATTTTGAATTATGAACTTCATCTGTAAGTGACTCATAAAACTAACCCTCTAAGGCTTCTTTTTTGATGCATTTCATCAAACACATAGACAACACTTATGGGATAATTAAGGCTTCAAAATTCTTTTTGCTACGACTACAAAGTATTTAAATTAGAAACCTATAGCATGGCAATTAAGAATGCAAATTAAATAAGAATTGAGCAAATTAAGTAGTCCCTCCAGCTCTGCCCATATGCATCAAAATATCTTCCTTTTTTATCTCTTCAGTATGAGGGTGTTTCTTTCGTCGACATCATTGGTTTCCTCCAATCATCTTGCCAACCTCTTAAGAATTTTTTTTTCTTTTATATTTTAGCGTGGTTTATATTAAAATCATACAATATCAATACCTGAGAATATATACAGGCCCCACCAAAATGATAAAATCCGTCCCCGCCCAACCGTGTGAAACTGTGGGCAAGGCATGTCTTCATATTTCTATATGCCATGTCTCCATATTTCTATATGATCTATTGTGACAGAATCTAGTGCTTGCTTCCACTATTGCATTAATTTTTTTCTTAACTTGGTTATATAAGACTCCGAGCATGATAGCCAATATTCATCAAAGAAAACATAAGAGGCAAATAAACAAACTTTGCTTCAAGTTTCAAGTGTAGAAAAATGTCCAACTTTAGCGGTCGGGGAAATGGCGTTGAGGCTTGGGGGAACACCGTCACCAACTGGGGATCCAGCAACACAGGTCTGGGTTCCGGAAGCATCAACTTGGGTGCTGGTTCCAAATCTAACCACATGAAAGATAAATTTCGTGCTCCCACTGGGAACCCTTGTGTTCCACCTGCTTTTTCTAGTGGCTCTGTTAACTTAGGCCCTGGTGCTGGAGGAAAGAATGGTGACTCTGCTTCTGGATATGATCCCGGATGTAACCACATTAGTGGTGAACTCTGGAGCGTTGCTACGAACCCTGGAGATCCTTATGCTTTTCCTCATGGTCCTGGTAACTATGGCCCTGGTGCTGGGCGAATGAATGCTGGCCCCGCTTATGGATGTGTCGACTACTTCAGTGGATCACAAGCCAACTGGGCCCCTAGGTTTCCTCATGGGGGTACTTGGCCTGGACATTTTTTTGGGACATGGCAGGGAATGCCTAAACCCGGAGATGGCTTCTGGTACTCGGGAATTTCTCCTTCCTGGGAAAGTGATCCTAACTCGGGAACTCCTAGGCGTGCAAGGGAAGGCAACGAATGCAACCACTTATTTAGCCATAAATAACCAATTATATATGGACCTGGAACTCCTAAGCGTACAAGACAAAGTAACGAATGCAACGGCTTAAGGAGCCATAAATAATCGGCGAACCTTAAAATTGTACTTTAATCGGTAATTTTTAAGTTTAGTTGATTACTTACGATTACTTTGAATAATAAGCGACTATGTTTTCATTTACGATTACTAGCTAGCAATGTGAAGTCAAATCTTGATGTATCCTTACTAGTGATGAGATAAGTTGTAAGGGTATCTTTGTTAAGTTGGAGTATCACTTATACCTTTTAAATAAAAATTTATTTACTAATAAAAATCAACTACTTTAATAAATAATATTTCTTTGCTAATAAAAGTGGTTTAACAAAATAATATAATATACTTCTCTATATTTTAATTGAATTATATTTTACTAATCAATCAATTACTTTTAGGATATAGTTTTAGGATGCATTAATTTCATCTTTTTCCTAGTATTAATTTGTATAGGAAAGCATAAATGGTAACTTCATTTTAAACATTAAAGACACATATTTGATTTTAGTTAGATGGTTGCTAAAATTAAAGTTAATTTTTATTTTTTTATAACAAATTAATAAAAAATAGATATAATTAATATACCTTCCACAGATGCTTTAAGGGCACAAAATGAAAAAACCCATTATATTTTAGTAATGGATCCATTATTTTTGCTAAAAGGGGATTTTCTTTTTAGTTGAGGGATAAAAAAGGAACTAAAAAATAATCTTGATGGATTTTTTTTCTTTGAAAAGAAAAAGAAATTTTTTATTTATTGAAAACAAGGGATTCTCATTTTCATATATCACGTTCATCCACTACAAGAAAATCTACACTTAGTGACGAAATTATTGATCATTAAATTTTTATTTTTCGACACCAATTATTATTAGTAATAAAATTTAAATTGTTAATAAAACTCTTGTCACTAATGCTCTTGTGACAAATTAGGCAGCTATCACAAAAAATAATCTGATAGTAATAGAAAAAATAGACATTGTTAACAAATTATTTATAACAATTTTATTCGTCACAAAAAAATATTCGTCACAAAAAAATATTCATCACAAATGCAATTGTGATGCAAAATTTAATCATTAATTATTAAAATTGATATTAAATAAAAAATATATTTATATAATTACAACATAAATATTTTAACAAAACTTTTGTCACAAAAAAATAATATATAAATTTATCACAAAAGTTTAATAAAAAATATTATTATTTCAATACTAATCAATTTTGATTA